AAAGGCACTGCTTAACTCGTGGAGGGAGACTTTTTCCGGCTCGTTGTTTTGTCAGTTGACCGTCAATCTGGGTGAGACATGAGCCAGAGCCTGCCTTACTCTCACTCGGTAAAATAATTCCTTGTTGGCTCCAAGGGGATGGGGCTCGTCTTCCCCACAGTTAGCTGGGGCAAGGCTGCGTGGGCTTTCACCCTGGCTCCGGCTGGGTCAGACACGGGTTTCCCAGACCCATCTTGGGTAAAAGCTAATCTTCATAGAATCACAGAATGGCAGGGCTTGAAAGAGACCTCTCTGGGTCATCTGGTCCTGCCGAAGCAGGGTCACCTACAACAGGCTGCACAGGGCTATGCCCAAGCAGGTTTTGAATATCTCCAGAGAAGGAGACTCCACCACCTCCCTGGGCAGCCTGTTCCAGTGCTCTGTCACCCTCAGAGGGAAGAAGTTCTTCCTCATGTTCAGACAGAACTTCCCATGCTTCAGTTTGTGCCCGTTGCCCCTTGTCCTGTCACTAGGCACCACTGAAAAGAGTCTGGCCCCATCCTCCTGACACCCACCCTTAAGGTATTTCAAAGGTCCCCCCTCAGCCTTCTCTTCTTCAGGGTAAACAAGCCTGTAGGAGGGATGCTCCGGTCCCCTCATCATCTTTGTAGCCCTTGTGTTGCTTGTACACTGTTACAAGGTTTATTGTGCTCACAGACCAATATTAGAGGGAATTCTGGGATCACACTCCAGGACTTCCTGTGGTCAGTCTGTCTGTCTAGCGTGAACTGGTTCTCAGCTGCTCTTCGGGAGGGATCGGGGAGCTGCTGTGTTAGCCCATTTTTCTTAGTGCTGAAAAGCCTGGATGCATCAGGTAAGATGCCAGCAAGCGCTGGAGTGGGCATGTTTTGCAAATATAACTTGAAGAATTCCAGCCTGGTGTATTTGAGGCATGCGTGGTGCCTGAGCTGCTGGAGTTGTGTTTTGTAGTTATTCTGCTGCCGTTGCTCATGTGTGGGTATGGTATTAGCATGGAGATGGTTTATTTGTGCCTTCCTGATAGCTTATGAAATATTTATGCTACCAGCAGTTACACTAGCACAGGTGCAGATGTGTTGAGCAATCTTAGGCGGTTAAAAATTACTCTTAACAGGAATGTTAAATCACATGGACATTTTCATGTATAGTTTTGAAAGAAGACGGGAAAAAATGTTAGCTGTTTTGTATGCAGTATAGTTGAAAAATAACGCGCTTACAGCAGTGATGTAGGGAGAGTGGGTTAAACAGAAAGCTTTTAATTGTCCTCCTTGTCTTCAACAAATAATGTTTAATGCCAGTTAATATCTTACTCTTGTTTTTAACTATGCCTGTCTTGTCTGTGGCAATGGAAAAATATTTCAGCTTTTCTTTCCTGAACCTACCTTTTACTTAGAACTAATGTTACCTTGCTCTTTTTCTGCTTCCCGCTTGTCAGGATTTGGTGGGCTTGAAACTACAAACTCCACTGCCAGTGGGTTTAATTTTGGGGGTTTCGGATTAACTGCTAATCCTGCAGTGAATTTTAATATTGGGAATTTCGGTGTTTCCACTACCTCAACTCCACCATTCAATTTTGGTAACAGTCTGGCAAGTGCAGGTAGATAATGCATAAATACTTGTTCTGTAATAATTATTGTTAATAGCAGGGGTCCAAGAATTACATTCCTGAGAATCTCTGTTTAGTATTAATCTTCATATCCAGTGAAGACTGGAGATAAAAGCTCTGAAAGTGGAATGGGTTTGAGAACCCTAGGATTGTAGTGGTTTTTGCCTATTAAATTCTCAAGAAATAGCTGTTGTGGCAAAATACCCATGTACCAAATATTCAGTCTATGAAATATAAATTAATTGTGGTAACCTGCCGGTCTGACCCAGTCTAAAATTGAGCCTCGATTTCCTAGCAAAACGGCAACATCAATTCTCCGTTCAGATCCAGGAGATCATGAACAGTTGCAGAGCTGGTCCCTAACGCCATGTTTCCTGACATGAGATTCTTGGACTACTGCAGTTATGTTTTTCATCTTACCCTATGTCTCCTCATTGGCCTTCCGTTGGCTGTCATGAATGCACTACACCTCAACAGTTTCTGTGGAGAAACAAATTTTATACGATCAGCACAAAACTAACAGCGCTCCCTGTGATCTCTGTTTCCTAAATGCCGTTCTGCGCCCTGAAATAGCACACATCCCAGGCTCTCGCTAAGAGATTCTCTGCGCTTCTGGGAGGATCTTGTACGTGATGTGTGTGCTGGGCGTTAAGAAAACTGTTCATGGCCCCATGCAGATCCATCAGTTCTGAGCGATCAGCTGATGTGATTTCATGTTAAATCTTTTCCCTTTCTCATAAAAATGCTTAACTGTATGGATTTCTAATGCTTTTACTTGTGTAGTATTAGCCCATGAGGTCTCCTTGCCGCTGCTCGTATAGGAATTACATTCATTCCACAGTGTCATTGCTCCCTGTGTTAGCGTACTCTTACCTGTTTTGTGCACTTGAGGGGTCTGATTTTGTTTTGATTTGCTGTGAACACCACTGGACTCTATTTCTTTAGCTGAATTTGAACTACTCCAGAAGAGAACTTGGACACTTTAATTTTGTTTGGCAGTTTGCGCTCCTAGATCCTTTTTCAAGAAAGGATGACTAAATTTTCTGTGAGTACAAAACTACCTAAGAATTGTGTCATCTGATGGTACTCCTGCTAGGGTTTCTCGCTCGCTGGTAGGACTGAAACTTGAATGTTACGGGGAACAACTTCTTATATCCACCCACATTAAGGTGTACGCTGAATGAAAATAAAATGCGATTGCATGTCAACTTTGGTTAAAGCTTTTTATTTTGTATGTATGCTAGAGGATGGCAAGTGTAGTATGTCTAAAGAGACTTTTTTTCTATTAACATGTGGCAGCATCGTTTTGACAAATCCTTTGTAGCAGACTGTCTGTCTTTATTTGAATGCATGTAAAAACAGTTTAAAATGGCGAGACTTGGTTCTTCAGGGTTGGTCAGGTGTCCACGGCCTGCCCCTCAGGCCAGTGGTGCATTGGCACCACCACAGCAAAGAGATGGTGTGGTGGCATCCAGCTCCTGTGCAGCCACCCATGCTGGGAGGCTGGCTGGGCCAGCAGCACCTCTCTCTCTGCACAGCCACCCTGTATCGGGGCACCTCTTCAAAGGGGGCAGGTGGGAGGATGGGTTTCTTGGGGCTTTCTCTGGCGTGGTGGTGCTCAGGCCCTCACTTGGGTCTCTGCCTGCTGGCCTGTGACTGGTTTTCCTGAAAATCTCTGGAAGGCTGATTGCTTTTGCATCCGTCTTCCTCTGACAGTGGTTGAACCTCAAAGTGAGATTTAATGGGGAGGATGATAGGGAAACTAGGCTTAAAATTAAAAAAAGACCTTGTAGAATTTTACCTGTGTGTGGAAATAAATCATTGCTGTGACAGCATTCCCATGTAAGCACAGCAATTGTTTGTACCCTAGCTTTAGGCTTTACTTGATCTGTTTCTATTTTTTGCTCTGAAGACGCCAAGAATCTTTAAAAAGCTCGCAAAGCATCAGTTAATTTATTAAATGCTTAGCAACAGCATTGTCTAGAAGCATTTCTGAGAGTGAATCTGAAAAATACTGTTATTGTGTCTGTCACTAAGGAAAGCACATCCTGCTGGTAAAGGAACAGGCTGTTAGTTAACTGCTGCTTTTTTATTTGTTGTCTCGACACACCATAGATGTATTGGCTTTCTGATTCATGTTTTCTCCCCCATTTCCTCAGACAATGAACTCGATACCCATGATCAATGTGAATTACATGCTTCTAACATAATACATCCATCTGCCAACACCTCATAACACCCCTTGAAGCGTGCAGTTTATCGTCGTGTTATGCACAGCTGCCGCTCACAGTGTGCTGTCTGCCTTACTTGCAGTCTTTGTTTGTTAGGTGCGTTTGGAGGGTTTGGGACGACTACTACCACAGTGGGACCAACATTCAGTTTTTCTGCTCCCACCAATACAGGCACCAGCGGTAAGAGAGCACAAGTCTGAAAGTATTTGTTTTAGAATGAACAGTAGGGCATCAGCCCTTCACAATCATGTTTTGCATTTCACAGGTACTATTCTCCTCTTTTTGTCAGTAATTCTTTGTTTATTTCCCCAGGACTCTTTGGTGCTAACCAGAACAAAGGCTTTGGATTTGGTACTAGTTTTGGCACAGGAACTGGAACTGGCTTGGGTAGTGGGTTGGGAACTGGGCTAGGCTTTGGAGGCTTCGGTACCCAGCAGCAACAGACCAGTAAGTATGGCCTTCTCTTGATTTACCCCTTCCTTAGCAAGGAAAACATAAGACTGCAACAGGCACACAAGTAGTGGGACAGAAGTATATTATAGAAGGAGGCTGTTATGCTTAACCTCTTGATGGATGGAGACTTCTCAGGAATTTGGCTTTTGAAATGCCTACATTTGCAGCCCTTGCCTTTTTCTTAAACTAGAGCTCAAGCAAGTTTCTGAGCTTCACCCTTGAGTTTCCAACAGCAATATTCACCCCTTTAGTTTGACAGTGGTAGAAAGAGTAGTTACAGAATTAATATTAGCAGTCTATGCATTACTAGAAAGGGGAGAAAAATAATGTTGAGTTTAGTTTAAATGTGAGGTGTATAATGACTAGCTTCAGGCTTAGAGTCCACTGAATTTATAGTAACAAATATACCCTTCAGATTTTGATATCGAAGGTGCTAGATGATGTCATGAGTGAATACAGACATCTCATTCAGAGAAAGAAGAATAAATATTTTCTTCGAACTCAGCATTCAGGAACTTCTGTTGCTAATGAAGATCAAGTGTAAAAAGACACTTTTAAAAAACTTTATCTGATATTGATTTATTTATTCTGTGCACTTTTTTTCCTTCTCAAAATGTGAGAAGACATGATACCAATGATACGCAGATGGTATGTGTTAGCAAGCAAGTCTGTCTTGCTTGGTAAAGGAGTTAATTTGTTTTTCTTCATCCAACACAGCATTAGGAAGCGGCTTGTTCAGCCAGCCTGCTCAGACACCTGCCCAGTCAAACCAGCTCATCAACACAGCCAGTGCCCTCTCGGCTCCGACACTCTTAGGAGATGAGAGAGATGCTATTCTGGCAAAATGGAACCAGCTTCAGGCCTTCTGGGGAACAGGCAAAGGTTACTTCAATAATAACATCGCTCCGGTGGAGTTTACACAGGAAAACCCCTTTTGCAGGTTTAAGGTATGGAATTGTTCAACTGTGCACAAACAGTTCTGAAGCAGTTACTCTGCTTTCTGAGTGTCTTGTGAGTGTTAAATCAGATTTTGTTACTGTTTCAGAACACTCTTAAGAGTATTTTTCCAGGTAATGTACACAGTTCTGATACTTGCTAATTAAAAGGTTTGAAGGTGTATAGACGCTGGAAATTTGGGTGCTGTTGAGGTACTAGGTAATGAGTGCATATGTGGATCATGAAACTAACCTTTTTCTATGACAGCATTCAGATTAGGGCGTATGTGGTTGGAGCTGATCTCTGGAAAGGAATTCTAATGTGTGTTTGTTTAGGTTATAATATTGGAGAAACTATGTAAAATAACCTTCACATCTGAAAGAAACTGTTAACATCTGGAATAAGAACTTCAGGGTCTTTTTTCATTGCTTTGCCTACATTAGGAAACCCTCTATGAACTTGGCCCGTGCATACCATTTTAAATACACCACCCTTCAGCTTTCTTCTGCCTGTATCCTTGCCAGTGCTAAAGCTGACTCCGTTTCTTGTATGATATCGTCAGCAGTTCCAGATCTTGCTTCTCTTGTCAACAAAGAATATGTAGCTCTTCATCCTCTGCAAATCTCACACCTGCTGACTTTCTTGCTAAGCTTCAGACTTGAAAGTGGATTTGGGTCACACGTGGTGATATGCTGCTTTCCCAAGCTGATTCTTTGAAGTGCAAACTTTCTAATCTGAATGTAGGTTAATACCTAATTAAGACTAGTTTTGATTATGTACACTGTGACACTTTTTATAAAATCTTTGCAGCAGCTGAGCGCCTGCATAACAAACGTTTGACTTCTGTTGCATTACCTTTTTAGGTGTTACCTTGAATATTTAGTTGATAATGCACATGAAAACTTACTTTCTTGTAAGTTGTTGCCTGAAATGGCTTTAGAGTTTTCTGGACTTTGAAAAATTGCAAAGTATAAGTTGTGTGATGCACAATCAGTTATTTTAGATTTTCATTTACCAAAATGAGATGTTTTCCTTTCAGGTTAGACATTGCCACATACTGGGTTTACTTTTGTCCCTATGACTTGAGTATTACTAACGCCATTATAAATTCATGTACCTTAAATGACATACTGAAGAGTTCGATGTATGCCAGCAATGGTGGATGCCTAAGACAAATAGTGAAGAAGTTGGTGGCACAGGTTTCAGAGCAAAGCATCGTAAGCTAGTCTGGTGTGTTGCCTCTGTAAGCTTCAGATGTCTGATAAGAGTGAAGCATTACCCGAAGGGTTTCACAGGTGTTCAAAGAATCCTCTTGCACACAATTTCAACTCTAGAACAAATGAGAAGCATGCAGCTCTTATCTTAGAAGCACACTTTTCTTGGTTATGCAATACAGGCCGTCATTTGAAGGACCACAATGACGTAAAATATCTGTTATAGTTTGAAAATACTTAATTGCATAAAGAAATAATGAGAGAGTTATTTATTTAAAACAGAAATACCAGAGGAGTGATGTATGTGTGGTCTTAGTACTACTTTGCACATAATGAGATTGTCTTCCGTGTACTGGCACATGTTTCCCCACAGCGTGTGCCTCTCAAACTACGAAAGTGAAAGGCATATGCTTGAAACCATATTCTTCCTTAGCTGTCACTGTTCTGCTCTGTGACAGGATGGCCCAACCGAAAAAGGCTGATTCTGCAAAGCTCACCATCACGGGGAGTTGGCCTCTGCTGACAAAGACCAGGCTCTTGGGCGCATCCCCAACTCATTTCTCTCTTCAGCTGAACTTGCACAAGGGGAAAGGCGCAAGTCACTCACCCACATGCAGTGTCAGGGCCTTAAAAAGCACCCGCTGTCCAACATGTCACCAGTGATATGTTAGTCCGACAGTTCATAGGCAAGATGAGATGCAAACTGCGCTCTGCTTTTGCTTATAATGAATTAGCAGTTTAGATCTTTCTTACTAGTTGTGTGGACTTTACACTGGAGCTGACCAGGTTTTTTTGAAACGGGGAAAGCACGCTGTTACTTCGCACAGATGGCAGCAAGTTTTCCTGTATTAGATCATGATGTTGAATGAAACATCGAACCTTACTACAGCTTTAGCACAGCAAGGATGAAGATAACATTAAACGTTATAAGCAATTGTACAGAAAACCTGCAACACTTGCTAACACAAGGAAAATTGGCTGTCCCAAATTCTTGTGTGAGAACCTTACTTGATGCATGTCTTAGCTGATAGAAATATTCTGTGGCCATGTTTTGGCTTGTACTACCAGGCAAACTGTCTGGATCTACACTAGGAAAATGCTGAGAAATCCGTAAAGATTTATGATTGGGCTTATCTTTCAATTAGGTTATGTCAATAACTGTTTTTCATTCAGACATCTGGAAGTATGATGTTGTAAAACTCTTCTGGACCTCTAGTAATTTTTCTGTATTAAAGTCTGGTCCTCTGGTTCCTTTTGCAACTTGGAAAAAGTGTAAATTTGTAAAGTGTTCCTGGTACCAGCTCTGAGATGGCATAAATACCCTGCTGAGTTGGTATCTTGCAATCCATAGCTTTTTTTTTTTTTTATTTTTAAGATGAGGAATGGATGCTTGGAAACTTTGTAAAAATCTGAACTGTATCCAGTAGCTGCTCTACTGGTGGCGTTGCGAGAGAACATTTTAAAGGGGATTGATTTTATATTTCTGCATCTCTGAATATGTTGTAACTTAAATTTTGAACTAGCTGCTCAAAAATTGAGGGGTTTAGCCCCTCCCCTTCATGCCACATAGATATGCTTTTGCGAAGTAATATATCCCAAGTTTGTGTTTGTTCATTTGCAGGCTGTGGGTTACAGTTTAATGCCCAACAACAAAGATGAAGATGGCCTCGTGGTCTTGGTCTTTAACAGAAAGGAAGTAGATATTCGAAGCCAGCAGCAGCAGCTTGTAGAATCACTACACAAAATCCTGGGAGGAAACCAGACCCTCACTGTCAATGTAGAAGGTGTTAAAACGATGCCAGATGACCAGTATGTGAACTTTACACGGTTTTGCTTTTTTATCCAGTATTGCATGTTATAAAGGGTTGACGCTTAGTCCACTCTGTCTTCCTTTCTCTTTGATTTTAGATCTGTTCATATTGAGTTTTGATTGCTTTGTGTTGCTTTTTCTTAAGGCATTAAGTCTAGTATCTTTCCTGTGTATGGTACTCGCTTTTGCTGGAGTATACAGCTGAGAAACACAGCTCAGTTCAGGAAATCGGCTTCTCCAGACCCTGCTCCGCAGGAAAAATTGGAGATGAGAGTGCTAATTGTGAGGGTGGGATAAATACTTAGTAATTTAGGAGATGTGAGGTATTCCTCACTTGGTCATGCGTAAGGTGGAAGGGCTTAGGGGTGCATAGGGTCTTTGCAGTGTTTCATACTGCAGACGGTTATTTCAGTGGGAAAGCTGTTCCAAGGCTAGTTGAGCTGGCTCATTCTGCATGTTTTATGTCAGAATGCTGTCTGCTTTGACTTGTCTGGGGGCCTCAGGCTAGTCTGCCTGAAGTACTTCAGCACACTGACATTTCTGCTGCTTACTTTCCCACAGTTTGTTCATTCTGTTTTAAAGACTGAAGGTTTTAGGTTATTTGTAATGTAGTACTAGTATCACCATATAATATGGTTGTTAAAACTGCGGGGGGGGAGAATGTAATTTTGTCACGTATTTTGTCGCGTATTAACAGCTTTTCTCTTTCTGCCTTGCTGTGTTAAACCCTGCTTTTACTGGTACTTTTTTATCTCAGTTAGCTAAAGGAAGTCAACAGTCATCTGGGAGAAATGGTAACTTTTGACTTTGGGTTGTTCTTTAATGTGCTAGTTTCTGTATGCTGCTGACCTTTTTCTGACAGTACTCATTTTGTCTTGCTCAGGACAGAAGTGATCATTTACGTTGTTGAGCGTTCGCCCAACGGCACTTCGAGGAGAGTTCCCGCAACGACCCTCTATGCCCACTTTGAACAAGCCAACATAAAATCATCTCTGCAGCAGCTGGGGGTCAGCCTCTCCATGGCCAGAACAGAGCTTTCCCCAGCACAAGTCAAACAGCTCCTGCAGAACCCTCCTGCCGGTATGTGGTCTGGGGCACAGCTGGGCCTTTGCTGGGGCTTTTTTGTGTCTCTGGGGAAAAATGCAGGTGTCAGCCCATTGGAAAACACCTTTTAAGACTCCAAGAGCTTCCAAGGCACTCTGACATACTGACGTAGTGGTTTTAATTGCAGCCAGTTTTCCCACTGAAGTGCAATGTAGTCCACCAAGATAGTTGTGATTTATCAGTAATATGGTGTGCAACACCATACTAATGATTTAGCTATCATAAATCACTTCAACTTTCCAATTAAAAAAAAAAAGTTAAATATCAGAATAATCATGTCCTTTATTCACTTCCTAGTTTTCAGGGGGGTCAAATAGCCTGTGTATGTGGCCACAGATAGTGTGTATGCAGCTGTGGTTGAGAGATGTGCTGTTCGTGCCGTTTCACAGGACAACTGTAGCTTATTCTCTATGTCTGTATGGTATCTTGTGTAGTACTTGGAGTAAACTCCCTGCGGTGGGTCAAGGAAAGCAATCAGTGGTTTCCAGCAGACAGCATGTTCAGTAAGACCATAGTGTTTAAAAACAGCAAAGTTTACAATATCTGGATTACGAAAAGAGCTTCAGCTACTATTGTAGAAAAATCAGAGACAAGCGGCAGTGTTTTCCAACTGCTGCAGCGTCGGGGAGAAGTAGTTGCTCTGTGCACAAGCAAGTTGGCTTTCTTTAATATTGGCTGTGTATCATAAGGCCTGTGTAACAGTGGATGGGCCCAGCTTGCTAGTCCATGATTGAGAAGGAAGCTGAGTTTGTAGGCTGGCTAATAAAGCAATAAGATGTGCAAGAAGAGGTGTTAATGCTGAGCTCTAGAAAAGCGGTCACACCTCGAGAGATGAGTTTTGGTATAAAGATAGTACCTTTTATGAGGAATGACCTAGAGCATTGTGCAGTGAAGAATGTTATGGTAGCTGACTGTTATGGTCTCCTCTTTAAGCTGGCCTGAAATTGTAAAATTACCAGCGCTTCATTTTTCTTTTTTTGCCTGTCTCTTTGGTCAGAAAGTCAATTGCTTCCCTATCAGTGTTGTCTTGGTTTTTTTCCTAGCATACCTAGGTATGTGCATTTTATACAGTGAACTGATTTGCACCGAGGCTTGGAGAATGTAGTAACTTACATTATGATGTTGATGTACATGTACAATTAGGCTGCTTTTGTTTTACGTACTTACCCGATGAAACGGTTCATGGCAAAACAAGCAACTATTCTGTCAACAGATAAAATCCTTAGACAGATCCTATTAGGAATGAACAGGATAATTCCTACGGGCATTATTTTGCCAATTGATTTGGTACTTTGATCACTTAATTACTGATCTCTTTTAATTTTTTTTTTAAATACAATAAGCAACTTGAAGAAAGATGACCCAAGTGTAGCATACAGTGGAAGCAATAGGCATTTTTCCCCTTGAAGTATGGATTGTTCCATTGGATCACATGTGGGTTGTTCCTTTTAAACCAGTAGACTTCACTTGCTTGACAGTGTTTTGAACTGAACCTACGGCCACAGTCCAGGACCAAGACTTTTAAGAACTACCCTTGATTAATTAACCTTAATTTGTATAACAGTCATTCAGGTTAGCATAGTTCATAGGGCTTGTGTATTTCGTAGTATTTTTCCTGCTTAACAGATGTAAGATTTGATATCTGTTCAGATCTATCCGTACTAAAAACTTGTTTGTTTTTTTTAAGGTGTTGATCCTATTATATGGGAACAAGCCAAAGTTGATAATCCTGATCCTGACAAGTAAGTCTAATAATCTGTCTGAGTGTTACAAAAAGCCTTGGAAAAGGGTGAAATAGATAGTGTTGTATAGTACCCTTCAGGTAATTTGTGAGAAACTTGCTAGAGAATTACTTTGTCAAGTGCTGATCTCATTTGAAGCTGTGAGGATTACTAGAAATGCCTGTCTAATCCCTTTACCCATTTAGGTGCTTAAGGGTTGTCAGGATAAGGAGCCTTACTTGCATTACTTTGAGTTGTGGTGTCCTCCATTATATGGACTAGTTACTGTGACTTAATTTTTGCAACCATTCTGCTGTTTTTCTCTTTA